CAAAATGCATCATGGATTTAAATGTGAAATATAAAACTTTTAGGAAAAAAACATGAGAAAGTTTGTGACACTGAGCACTAGATGACTCCAAAAAGATGCTATATTACTTCAGACATTGATAAATTGGAGTTCATCAAAATTAAAAATTTTGGTCTGAAAAATCTCTCAAGAGGATGAAAAGATCAGCTACAGACTGGGAAAAATATTTGCAGAGAGAACTTGTGTTAGAATATATATAAAATTGTCAAAGTTTAACAATAAGAAGCAAACAATACAGTTAGAAAATGGGCAAAAGACATTTCACCAAAAAAAAATACAGATAGCAAAAAAGCACCTAAAACAATATTAACATTATTAACTATTAGGGAAATGTGATTTAAAACATATATCACTACATACCAATTAGAATGTCTAAAATAAAAATATAGTGATAAAATACCAGCTGCATATTTCACAGGCCTAGAAAGTACTCTCCAAAAATTCATCTGGAATAAAAAAAGACCCCGAATAGCTGCAGCAATCCTGAGAAAGAAGAACAATGTTGGGGATATCACAATACCAGATATTAAGCTATATTACAAAGCCACTATTCTCAAAACTGCATGGTATTGGCACAAGAACAGACATATAGACCAATGGAACTGAACAGAGAACCCAAAAATCGACCCAAACCACTATGCTCAATTAATACTTGACAAAGGAAGTAAGAGCATACAATGGCAGTCTCTTCAATAAACGGTGTTGAGAAAATTGGACAGATACATGCAAAAAGATAAATAAAATAAAACTAGACCACCAACTTACATCATATACAAAAATTAACTCAAAATGGATAAAGGACTTACACGTAAGACGGGAAACCATGAAAATACTAGAGGAATACACAAGCAGCAAAATCTCAGACATTTGCCGAAGCAATTTCTTCACTGATACTGCTCCTAGGGCAGTGGTCGGCAAACTCATTATCAACAAAGCCAAATATCAACAGTACGATGATTGAAATTTCTTTTGAGCACCACATTTTTAAACTTAAATTTCTTCTAATGCCACTTCTTCAAAATAGACTCGCCCAGGCCGTGGCATTTTGTGGAAGAGCCACACTCAAGGGGCCAAAGAGCTTCATGTGGCTTGCGAGCCACAGGTCACTGACCACGGTCCCAAGGCAATGGAAACTAAGGAGAAAATAAACAAATGGGATTACATAAAAAATAAAAAGCTTCTGCACAGCAAAAGAAACCATCAACAGCCGAAACCGGTGTGGCTCAGTGGTAGAGCATCAGTCTGCAGACTGAAAGGTCCCAGGTTCGATTCCGGTCAAGGGCATGGTACATTGGTTGCGGGCACAACCCCGGTAGGGGGTGTGCAAGAGGCAGCTGGTCGATGTTTCTCTCTCATTGATGTTTCTAGCTCTCTATCCCTCTCTCCTCCTCTCTGTAAAAAAATCAATAAAATATATATATTTTTAAAACCATCAACAAAACAACAAGAAAGCCTGGGAGAACATATTTGCCAATGTTCTCTCCGATAAGGGTTTAATCTCCATCATTTACAGGGAACTCATACAACTTAACAAAGGAAAGATAAACAACCCAATCAAAAATGGGCAACGGATCTAAATAGACACTTTTCAAAAGAGGACAGAAGAAAGGCCAGGAGACAAATTAAAACATGGTCAAAGTCACTAATCATCCGAGAGATGCAAATCAAAACAACAATGCGGTACCATCTCCCACCTGTCAGAAAGGCTATCATCAACAAATCAACAAACAACAAGTGTTGGCGAGGATGCGGAGAAAAAGGAACTCTCGTGCACTGCTGGTGGGAATGCAGAATGGGGCAGCCCCTGTGGAGAACAGTACGGAGTTTCCTCAAAAAAACTAAAAATGGAACTTCCATTTGGTCCAGTAATCTCACTCCTAGTAATATATCCAATAAAAAAAAAATGGAACTTCCATTTGACCCAGTAACCCCACTCCTAGTAATATATCCCAAGAAATCAGAAAACCAATCAGAAAGGATATGTGTACCCCTATGTTCATAGCGGCACAATTCACCATGGCGAAGATTTGGAAACAGCCTAAGTGCCCATCAGCAGATGAATGGGTTAGAAAACTGTGGTACATCTGCACAATGGAATACATACTATGCTGCGGTAAAAAAGGAAGGGAGTCTTACCATTTGCAACAGCATGGATAGAACTGGAGAACATTATGCTAAGTGAAATAAGTCAGTCAATGAAAGAAAAATACCACATGATCTCACTCATTTATGGAAAATAATGAACAATATAAACTCATATAATGAGGAACAAAAACAATTCAGAGACAGAGAAGCATCCATCAGGTGCTCAAACTATTTTTTTAAAATATATTTTGTTGATTTTGTACAGAGAGGAAGGGAGAGAGATAGAGAGTTAGAAACATCGATGAGAGAGAGTCATCGATCAGCTGCCTCTTGCACACCCCCTACTGGGGATATGCCCGCAACCAAGGTACATGCCCTTGACTGGAATCGAACCCGGGACCTTTCAGTCCCCAAGCCGACGCTCTATCCATTGAGCCAAACCAGTCCCGGCAGGTGCTCAAACTATTAATCATTTCATCAAATCAATCAAACCTCGGAGGGAAGGTAGGGGAGGGTGGGGGTAGGGGGAGAGAGCAGCCAAAGCACTTGTAGGAATGCATATGAGCCTAACCAATGGACACAGACACCAGGGGGGTGAGGACACAATCAGGGGGTCAGGGGGCAATGGAGGGATAAGGACACATATGTAATACCTTAATCAGTAAAGGGGGGAAAAGTATCATTGAAAAAAATATATAGTGATAATAACTAATGCCAGCAAAAAAATGTGGGAAAACGGAATGTCTCAGACATTGCTGGTGGGAATGTAAAACGGCACAGACACTATGGAAAATTCTGGCATTCTTACAACACTAAATGTGCACTGGCTAACCCAGCAATTGCACTCTGGGGCATTTGTCACGGAGAAAGGAAAATGTATGTTTACACATGAAAACTCTAGTTAAATGTTCAGAGCAGTTTTAGTCTCACTAGGCAAAAACTGGAAACCCAATGCCCTTCAATGGGCGAATAAACTGTAGTATATACGTACTTAGGCAATATTACCACTAGTCATAAAAAGGAACGGCCTATTACTAAGTATAGCAACTGGGGTAGGTCTCGAGAAAATTCCAGTGAGTGTAGAAAAGCCAATTTCAAAAAGTATGATCCCACTTACATAATATTCTTTTTAAAAATATATATATTTTATTGATTTTTTTACAGAGAGGAAGGGAGAGAGATAAAGAGCTAGAAACGTCGATGAGAGAGAAACATCAACCAGCTGCCTCTTGCACACCCCCCACCGGGGATGTGCCCACAACCAATGTACATGCCCTTGACCGGAATCGAACCCGGGACCTTTCAGTCCACAGACCAACGCTCTACCACTGAGTCAAACCGGCTTCGGCTTACATAATATTCTTGAAATAAAATGACAGAGATGGAGAGCATGTTAGGGGTTGCTGGGGGCGGGGCGGGGGTAGAGGAGGGGAAGGAGATGATAGTGACTGTATTGGGTAGCAGGAAGAATCTTTGTGATGGAAAAACAGTTGATTGTGGTGGTTACAATCATCTACACTTGATGAAATTGTAAAGCACTCTATACACACACGACAGAAACAGACACAGAAATGAGTGCGTGTAAAACGTAAAATCTGAATAATGTCTGTGGATTGTATTCAAGTCACTATCTTGGTTATGGAAGATATTATCATCGGGGAAACTGAGTGAGGAGTATACGAGACTGCTCTGTAATATTTTTATAGAGCCTGTGAATCTACAATTATTTCAAAGGAAGTATCGTAAGATGAGGTAAGTCTGAAGGACTATGAATGTTTTCAAACTCACACATTCGCATATCGTAAAATAGAACTGCGTGTTTAATATGCAAAACATACCACACATAAGAGAGCCTGCATTTGTGTTTCGCCGAAAAATTTAAATGAAAATGACAATCAAAATAGACTCGCCAGGCCGTGGTATTTTGTGGAAGAGCCACACTCAAGGGGCCCAAGAGCCGCATGTGGCTGCCACAGTTTGCTGACCGCGGAGCTAGGTAAATAAAAAAGGATTTATTTAGTTAGTTATTTACTTTTGCTTAAAAGCATCTGTATGAGTCAGGATCCCACGAGCGAAGCAGACCAATAGCACATGTTACCTACACCTACCTATCTGTAGAATTCACTCATTTTCCCTGGGAGACACTGGCTGACACACGGTGGGCTGGCCCAGCAGATCCCAAACCTCCAGGGGCTCCCATCGCGGCCAAAAGGAAAGGCGGGGCCCCTCCCGATCATCCAGGATCACCCTCTCCCTTTCAACCCGCCGATCGGAGCTTCCCTCACAACCGAACATCTGCCCAGCAACACGTGCACGCATGTCTGCTCGAATCACCGCGGGCTGCCCCCTCGCCTGGCCCAGGGGACCCCCGAAAAGAAGCCGCAGCACCTTCACCCCCTAAACCCCCACCGCCTGTGCCCCTGAACTGATCACAGGTTCCCAGGGAGGATGAATAGGTTCCTCCCCGACGGCGATCGGGGCGGGCGATCGCGATCGGGGCAAACTTTGCGCCAAGAGGGGTCGCGGGCGGCGGTGGCCTTTGAACCCGCCCCGCGCACCTCGCCGAGAGCGGCCGCGGGGCGGGAGCGGGCGCGGGGCCGGCGCCCACCTGAGGGCGGGGCGGGCGGGGCGGGGCCAGCGCGGGACCCGACGCCAGAAGCGCGCGCGGCGGCGGCCGGAGCCCGCGGTGAGGCGGCCGGGGGGCCGCGGGGCCGGGCGCGGGGCGGGGGAGGAGGAAGGGGAAGAGGCGGAGCTGGGAGCCGGTGTCAGGAATACAATGGTCTCCCCCGCCCCGCCGCCGCCGCCCAACCGCCTGGCCGGCGCTGAGGCCCGGGCCGGGGGCGGGCCGGGGGAGGGGCGGGCGGCGAGGGGGCAGGTGCGAGGGCGGAGAGAGAAGAAAGCGGGCGGCGGGGCGGGCCGCTGCCCCGGACTCGCCGGCACTCCGCCGGGCACGAGCGCGGAGCCGGACGCGGCGCTGGCCGCGCGGAGGTAGGCGCCGGCGGGCGCGGGAGCGGCGGGGGCGCCGCCGGGGGCGCCGGGGCCGGAGGGCGAGTACCCGCGGCGGGAAGTGGCCGGCGTGCCCCGGGCGGGAGCGGGCACCCGGCTCCCGCGGCCGCCGTCGGGGCAGGGGGCGCGGGCATCGCGGGGCGCCCCGCGGCGGGAGGACTGCCGGGTGCTCCGGGGCGGACGCGCCCGCCGGGGGCTGTCGGCTGCCGGAGGGGCCCGGCGCCGGGCAGGGGGCGGGGGGCGGCGGGACCGGTGAGCGGGGCGCCCCGCGGGCTGGCGGACCCCCTCCCCGGTATTGTTCGGGATGCGGAGCCCGGGACGGTGGGAAAAGCGGACCGGCGGGGCCAGGCTTCTGGGGAGATTTCCCAGCGAAGTTAACTTTTCCCGGGCGGCCGAGTCGGTTTCATTCCCTCGCTGGGGGGCAGCAGATTGGGGGGAACTGGCGGAGGGAGGGCAGAAAGCCCCCCTTTAACTCTCCCTCTCGCCCCGCAGAGCCGCTGCCCGGAGGAGCGGGCTTTAAATCTTTAAATCGCAGGGGGACCGCGGTGGTACAGGGAGGCGGGAGGGTGCCGAGCGGGCAGCCGAGGGGCGCTGTGTGCAGGCATGTTTCAAAGTTGGTATCACCGCGGCGCCCTGAGACACATGTACCTTCCAGGCATTTGGCAGGAAACTCGTTTGGCCGCTTCGCCGGCTGTCCAGAGCTGCAGGGAAACCCGTGGTCTCAGATGTGCGCGAGATTTATTCTAAATTTCACTTTATGTGCGTTGCATGTAACTGACTGCAAAGCTAAGGAGGGGTCCCGGCGCCCCTCCCCTGCCCAGTCTAATCGTATAAGAAATCAAAGCCCAGTGGACGGGGATTGCGGTGACCTGGAGGGAAAGGTGCCCTCATTCCCCGTGTTCAGCCTGAGACAGATAACTGTCTGCTTCTCTAAAGTCTAAAATATTTCAGGGAAAGACTGGTTGTACAACCTCCTGGCTGGCTTGAAGCAACCCAGGGCCCACTTTCCCAGGGTTGTCCTCTTAAATACTTCCTTGTGATCGCTTCTTGGTAGCCCGGGGGCAAGGGGGGTGAGGGAGGAGCCGGCCTGAGCAAAGCATTGTGTTTGTATCTAATTTGATATGTTCATAGCATCTGTGGACAATGGGCACGGGGATCTGTGCCCTTTGAGGAGTGTGGCTCTCATGCATCATGTAACTTCTCTCCACATAAATGGACAGAAGTTTTCTTCTTCTTTGTCTATCTAGGAGTGTTCTGCCTTCATAACATTTTCCTTTTTTCATTTAAAGTAAGCTGTGAGTTTCACTACTCAGCCTGGAAAACGATGCTACCTCTCTTCGAGGGATGAAGGGATCACGTGAGATCTTTGGGAAGTGCTTCTCAGAGTGAGCTCCCATCATTCCCACCTTTAAAAACCAAAAAACTGCTCTTTATACTTTTACCTGCCAAGAAAAAAGCTGTTAACTCAATATTATTGCCTTGCAACAGCTCCTTGCGCTGTGTTCAGAACATTCCAGAACACTCAGTGATGCAGGCCTGGCTCTAGAATCCTCACTTACCTGCCTTCGGCTGTTGGGAGCCATCTTGGTAAGCTGCAGCCCTCTCCCCTGTAGGAGCTTGGGAAGCTTGGTCAGAGGTGAGGGGAAGTGGATATGGGCCTCCCCCGGGCTTCCTGAAGTGTTGGTGGTCGACGGGGAGCCAAGAGGAGCTTGGGGGCAGCTTGGGGGCACCTGTAACCCACCTGTGACCCACTCTGAGGCCTGTAGCAGCGGCCTGTAGAGGCTCTCAGGGGTAAGACAAGTGATGGTACCGGTCTCATCAATCGCAGTTGAGACTTCAGTGTTAACAGAAGTTAAAGGATAAAGGATGCTGAAGGTTCATGGGTGGGAAATAAGCTCTTCTTTGATAACTCTTGACTTTCCCCTCCCAACTGTTCCAGTTGCCATGGCAGCCCTTCCTCCCCTAAGTACACAAAGCCTCTCCCTTTGCCCCACCACTTGGACATCTGGATAGAAGTAGATGATTATTTGGGGGGAAGTTGGGGAGGCTGAAGGCATCAGGTGTGTGGGAAGACATACAGGGGGCGCTTACAAGCCCTGATCAGGGACAGAGGCTGAACATGGTCATAGGACAGAACACAACTGCCTCCTCCTGGAGCTGCCACAGAACAGGACTGGAGGAGGACAGAGATCAGATCCTGGCTTACCTGTGACCTTTACTCACTCCCCTCATAGCCAAGGGGTAGGGGTGGGTGAAAGCCATCTGGCGCTCTCCTGAAATGGCTAACCTGAGGACATTGGAATGGTTTACAAGTCTCTACCTGCCGTTCCAGTTCCAGTGCCTGGGAAGGCGGAAGCATCCTGGCTTGTGGGGTGGGGAGGATCTGGGATGAGTGAGTGGGTAGAAGGGAAGAATAAAAGAATGCTAGCAAGCGGTCAGTACAGAAGTAAGCCCAGCTCTGAGTGTGCTGTTTTCTGGATTCTTTGTGACTCCTGCGGTTCTTCTGGCCTCCTGCCTATAGGTCTCTCCATAGCAGCAGCAGCAGCAAAGCTCTTACCTTCACAACTGTCTCCGTGCTTCTTTTGGGAAACAGAGAGGAAGAAGGGTCCTGGGGAGAGTGCCTGACCCCATAGCTAAGTTTGGGAAGAGGGCAGTCAACTAAAGGAAGCAGGGGGCTAGAATGGGGAGATAATGCTGAATTATTGACTGTCTGAGTGTATGAATGAATGCATTGGTACCTCCTATTGGCCAAAGCCTCAGCATTATCTCCCCATGCTAGCCCCCTGCTTCCTTTAGTTGACTGCCCTCTTCCCAAACTTAGCTATGGGGTCAGGCACTCCTGGGCCCTTGATACTGGCCGGTAGACAAGGAAACCCACGTCTAGAGTGTGGTTTTGGAATAGCGGACAAGAGAACGCGGTACCAGCATGGCCAGTACCCTAGACCTTAGGTGTTAGAATCTCCTGGGGAGATGGATATTCTTTTGAAATGTTTAGAAACTTTTTATTTTGATGTAATATTATAACTACCCAAAAGTTACAGGAACAGCACAGAGAGTTCTTGTCGTCCCTTCGCCCAAGGTCTCCAGTTATTAACAGCTTGTTCCCGCTTGCTTTATCATTTGCTCTTTCTGTTTCTTTTTATGAACAATTCAAGGGTAGTAACCACTGAGAGACTGATACTGTCAAGGGCATCCTGTCGTGGAGGGTGGCTGATGCAGCCCCGGGAACAGAAGAGCATTGGTGGTGTGTAGGGCCCAGAGATAGAATGCAGTCTACCTACGGCCATAAGTCACGTGTTTGTAAGTCGCATGGAGTCTCTGGTGCTGGATATGGAAATCATTCCATTATAGAGTGGTTAAGATAAACGCTTTTTGCTACCATTCATGTCAAGTTTGTTTTAACTATGCCAAACTTTAATCCTATCTCTACAAATAAAAGGGTAATATACTAATTAGAGCGTACGTCTTCGGACGACCATCCAGACGTCCTTCTGGACAAAGCCACAGTGGCAAGCCGCTGATGGCAGCTGCCATGGGGAGAGTCGGCCCGAGGCTCTGACAAGCTGCGGGTGGCGGCTGCCACTGCAAAGGCCAGCCTGAGCCTCAGGCAAGCCGTGGATAGCGGCTGCTGTTACAGGGGCCAGCCTGAGGCTCAGGCAGCCATAGTGCCGCCAGTGGCAGCAGCAGCAAGGTAACCGGAGCATCACCTTCCCCTGATGGGCCAGGTCACCTCCGGCAGAGGGAAGCCAGACTACGGCTTAGGATGGGGGCAAGGCAGAGGGAATCAGTCAGGCAGGCAGAGGGGTTAGGGGTGATTAGGCAGGCAGGCAGGCAAGTGGTTAGGAGCCAGCGGTCCAGGATTGCGAGGATTGTGAGAGGGATATCCATCTGCTGGCAGTCAGACATCCCCCCAGGGATCCCAGATTGGAGAGGGTGCAGGCTGGACTGAGGGAACCCCTCCCTGTACACTGGGCCTCTAGTCTATAATAATCTATAATAAAAGCATAATATGCTAATTAGACTGGACAGCCCTCTGGACAAAGCGGCTGTTGCGAGGGAACCCTGGGTCCCAGGTGCCTGCCAGCGGCCAGAGGGAAGCCCAGGTCCCAGGTGCCAGAGGGAAGCCGGTGCCGGCAGCTGGGGGAATTGTGTGCATCGGGCCTCTGGTCCTGTGTAATCAAAGCCCAATGACCGAATGGCGGAACAGCCAGAATGACGAGTCACTATGACATGCACTGACCACCAGGGGGCAGACACATAACTCAAGAGCTGCCCCCTGGTGGTCAGTATGCTTCCACAGTGGGAGCACTACTCAGCTGACCAGGATGAACTGTGCTCCCACAGGGGCTGATCCCCACAGGCCACACCCCCCACCAGTGCACAAATCCATGCACCGGACCTCTAGTATTGTTATGAAAATCCGTATCACCACACCCCAACTTTGCAGCCATAATAGTCTCCAACATTTTAATTCATTCAGTCAGTACAAGAGGGGAAAGAAAGGTATTGATCCCCTTAAGAGCTCAACATCCAATGGAAAGGAAATAATAAAAACTATCATCACAGCCAGAGAAAGAGTATTCTGAGGACGAAGGCATTGGGGCCGGGGTTTATTGGAACACCAGGCTGGTTCAGCATCTGGAGAGTACACCCCTCAAGCAGCTTGGGATGTGTGTGAATGTGAAGATCCGTCCTATCTGAGGCTCGCTGCTCTTAGAGGAAAAGGTTCATGAGTTAGGGAAGCCTTTGGTGTCATGCGCACCGCCAAGGTACTAATTAATCGAGGTAGCAGTTGCTCTGTAAACACTAATTTCACCTTCCCCTCTAAAAATGCAGCATGTGGGGAAATAGCATGAAAGGTATTTGGTAGTAAGGTGGGATTCAAGGGGGTGTTTCTGTTTTTTTTTCTACAAATAAATAATCACTAATTATACTAAGTGCTGTGACGGAGATTACCGTATGGGATAATAACAGTACCAGTAGTGGTGATTTGTTAACCATTTCCTGTGTGCTGAGCGCTCTGCTACCTGGCTTAACTTAGGACATGTTTCTGAGGTGTGAAGCAAAGGTAACTTTCCCAGCACTGGCCGGCGTGTTCAGTGGTTAGAGGGTTGGCTAGCACAGTGGTCGGCAAACTCATTAGTCAACAGAGCACCAAACCACGGCTCACAAGCTGCATGTGGCTCGAGAGCCACAGTTTGCCGACCACTGGGCTAGCACACAGAGGGGTCACTGGCATGATTCCCTGGCAAGGGGACATAGCTGGGTTGCAGGTTCAATCCCCCCCCCCCCTTGGAGCACTTGTGACAGGCAACCAATCGATGTGTGTCTCTCACATCACTGTTGCCCTCTCCTTTCCTGCCTCCCTCTCTCCCTCCGTCTCTCCTTCTGTTCCCCCTCCACTTTCTCTAAAAATCAATGGAAAAAATGTCCGCAGGTGAGGATTAAAAAAAAGGTCACTTGCCCAAGGTCACACAGCAAGTCAGGAAGAATGCTTCTGTAAGGGGACCCGCGAGGTGCCGGGGGCTGAAGGATGAGCAGGAACAAGCAGAGCCCAGGCAGGGAGAGGGAGTGCCGGGCGCGGGGACAGCAGGTGTTGTGAGGGCACTGCAGCGGGAGAGCCGTGGAAAAGATCCTCAGAGGTTTGGCTGGGACCTGGGGACAGAGATGAGGGCTGAGGTAGGCAGGGGAAGATTTACAGGGCCTTATGGGACCTTATTAAGGAGTTTGTGTTTTATTCCAAGGACAATGGGAAGCCGCTGGAAGGTGTTTTTCACTTTTTATTAAAGAGTGTGTGTGTGTGTGTGTGTGTGTGTGTGTGTGTGTGTGTGTGAGTGTGTGAGTGTGTGTGTGTGTGTGTGTGTGTGTGTCTGTCCTCAGTGGAGGATATTTTTCCATTGCTTTTTAGGGAGAGTGGAAGAGAGTGGGGAAAGACGGAGAGAAACATCAATGTGAGAGAAACACATGATTGGTTGTCTCCTGCGTGAACCTCAACCAGGGCCGGGGCTGGGGAGGAGCCTGCAACCGAGGTACATGCCCTTGACCGGAATCAAACCTGGGATCCCTTGGTGTCCACAGCCCCATGCTCTGTCCACTGAGCCAAACCGACTGTGTGTGTGTGTGTGTGTGTGTGTGTGTGTGTGTGTGTGTGATCCCCACAAGTAGTGAGGCCTAAACAACACTGGCTAAAGAAACTCATCTCCTTTCAGGGTCCCACTCTGTGATGTTTCTAACCCAGCATATAGATCTTAGACAGCTTTCGCCGCCCGCCATTAGCACAGTTAAAGGGTTGCCGTGTTGCTTGAAGAAGGTGGTCCCGCAGTCTGCTTCTAGAAGGAGGTTTAACTAGTCTCTTATCTGATGCTTTTTTGACTGCATTAGGGAGCTCTTGCAGCTTTCACCAAGCCTTGTCAAATGGGGGAGATGGGGGAGAGGGGGCTGGGGTGGGGGAGTAGACTTGGGAGAAAAAGTAATTGCTGGAAACCTGAGCTGTTCAGCGTTAGAAATGAACTGTGAGTATGACTTTGGTTTGAATATATCACGATAAAGATGCTTCAGAGGCTAAATGGTAATTTTTGTGTGTTTTT